TTCACCATGCTCTAATATGACAAACTTTACCATGTTCTGGTCATTCTAGTGTGTGTCCCTACTATCTCCCGCCTCATTACATTTTTAACTGAATCGACCAGTGGAAATTGTGGGATATTAGTGGAAATTAAAGCACTGTAATATTATCGTTTATGGGCATCGGCCTCGATAAAGTAGGTGGGTTGTTTAGGGTTTTAGGTTCGAACGTTTATGAATAGGTAAACGATTTGCATTTTGTTTAGCGTAACATTGTGAGAACGGGCAGTATCCATGACTGCAGTATGGACTACAGTATCCATGACTGCAGTATCCATGACTGCAGCATCCATGGCTGCAGCATCCATGGCCGCAGCATCCATGGCTGCAGCATCCATGGCTGCAGCATCCATGGCTGCAGCATCCATGGCTGCAGCATCCATGATTGCAGCATCCACATCCCTCCAGAGCTTGGTCGGTTTATCAAGTGCACTTCCCGCTAGTCTCAGCATCATCCGCCACGAGCTTCCTATTCCCACCCCTCTTTTCTCACCCTGTTTATCTTAATCTCTTGCCTTGTCTCCTTACACCCACAGCATGTCATCTCTTATCAGTTGACTTTTGATTAGCGTCCATAATGAACCTTCCAGGCATATCTTCCAGCAGGGTAGCAGTTGAGAGGCGTGTGGGCGGAAGTTGATGCTAACCTTGGAGGGTAGAAATAGCCAAAGGTACTCTATTCCTTTGAGGTGTATTTTCTTGTCTCAATAAACATACTTAAACTTGATGCTATCGTCTTGGAAGTTTGTTGACTATCACAAAGCAACTGATGCGAGGAAAAAATATATATATGAAAGAAATAGGCCAATGTAGACGAGGAGTCACAATAACGTGGCTGAAATATGTTGACCAAACTACACACTAGAAAGTGAAGGGACGACGACGTTTCGGTCCGTCCTGGACAATATCAAGTGGATTGTGAATGGTCCTGGACGGACCGAAACGTCTTCGTCCCTTCACTTTCTAGTGTGTGGTTTGGTCAACAAATAGGCAAATATTCTGCTAGTTATTAGTTAGGTGTTTTTAGGGCATGTACTTCTAATGGAAACTGCACACATTCATCAAAGCCTTATGTTTGAAGACATTAAAGTAAGTTTCATGAAGTTTTTATGCTCAGTACTAGTGAAATCCAGGAAAATTCGGAATACAATAATTATGTTAGATTTTGACAACATATTTTGTATATGAATAAAAGGGATACAGAGTTGAAGAAACATTGCAGCTTATGAAAAGAAAAATGCACGTAAACATTTGATGTCAGATGATATACAAAGGTATTTCACAATCAACTATATTTTGGAATGCTGTAATGTTAACCCTTGTAAATAAAAGGTATAAATTACTATTAATACTGTGCATAATTCAGTAAATAAATAAAATACAGTGGTTCACAACCGAACGATCCCGGGCAACGTTTGGAACGATGGAAACGTTTGGGCAAGTTTTTCTTTCAATTGATGCCTCACTTCACCTTACAACAGTTAGATTCCTGTCGAGGCTACAGACGGTGGCTTTCAGGTTAATGCGGATACATCACACAATTGGGATTTCATTTTGCAAGCCTAAATACAGGTTTCATTTCCCTGAAAATGGAAAACCAAGAATCCAGGTTGGCGAGTGTCTCGAAATACTTAATGCCAAGTCTAAGACTATTTGCAGTAACGACTAAAAAGTCTGTTGACCTCATTGGATGACCCCATAGAAATGTGGCTCTTCCTGCCACTCCCGGCTGTTAAATTTGTAGCGTTGCCAGTATTTATATAACTTTTATAACCGCTCTCACCAGTTGAATATATTATTGTGTATTACCATAATACTTTCACACCCGCATATGAAAAAGTCGAACAAATCAGTTCGAGAGATGATAGTGAGGAGCTGTAAAGCACAATCAACACTTGAAGTCAAGCTGCCAGCTGTTGTTGCAACCCTCCTACGGCTTCCCTGAGAAAACATGCCACGGCTCACGGAAGTTAGAGTTGCCTATTAGCCTAATAATGGATTCCCCGTGGTTGGGGTCGGAAAGCCTGTTCAACTTATCACGATGTTCCTAGACCAACGACGGATCTTCCCTGGGATGCAACCCACAACAGTCACCTAACTAGTCTTTTATAATTACTGCTAGACGAAGAGGCATCAGGTGTAACTATGGATCCGAACATCTCGCACGACCCTAGAATCCGACTGCGCTAGACTTCGCAGCATTAGTACAATGGAAATATACCCGACACTAGCACATGTTAGCACCTACATATGTACCTACAATCATATCAGCTGAACAAATTAAAATGCTAACTCTGCATCCATCCAGACAGTAGCTGTTCGCAAGATGCATCTATATGAGGACTCTGAGCTTGACTGCATAACCAGATTCAAAGACTGTACCTTGGCTGAGGTCCCACTGTATGGCAAGGCTGTAAACAGACTTGGCTGCCAGTTTAGAGAAGCTGACACAAGGTTGTGTGGGAGGGGATGCCATCCCAACTATGAGAAATATGTCAGAACTACAAAAACATTTAAATATTTGATTTCTGTAAGCAGTGTTTCTTGTAAACTGGATTTGAGACACTCTAAAGCTTTTTGTGAACCAAGTATTAGAGTGGCGTTAATGAGGTTTTCAATGTTTCATATTGACATAAAATGCAAGAAAATTAAGAATACAATAATTATGCTACTTGCTGATTCCATTTTTTGTGTGTGGATAGGCAGGCAGGAGGGTTACTCAGTAGACAAAATATTGAAGTTCTTGCGAGGCAGGATCAGGTATAACATTTGGGGTTTATGGCTCATGCTCGGTGATGACATGGAAAATTGGTTTACTGAGAATTATATAAAATATATATAAATGTAAAAATTTCCCCTGTAAATTAATGTAAATATAATCTCTAAAATTGTAGATCATTTAAATAAAAATAAGTATAACATTTAAGGGTTTAAAGTTCATGCTCTGTGATAATATGAAACACTTGTTTACTGAGAATTATACTACTGTATATGTAATAGAGTATTGCTTTGTAAAATTTAGGTTTGTATGATTTATATTGTATTTTCTTGAATAAAGAAAAAAATTGCAAATATTTGACTCATATTTGGCTATGGCCGTATTCTTGCTTGCTTCAGTGCCTGAAATAATGGCGGAAGGGCTTGAATAAGTACAAAAACGGAGCCATGAGGGTCACTAGGAGCGATTATTGCCGTCAGTGGCTGCTAGTTTATTCTGCATCCCATAATCATCCGGTGAGTGGTCGTGCAAAAGGATTACATAGGGCGGAAAAGTTCTAAAATCAGACCTAATCAGAACTCAGTGGATGTGGTTTGGCAAACCTTCACGTGAACTCCATGTATCATGAAGGGAAAGACATTAACTTTTACAATTTATCTGTACGTGTTATATTTAATTTGAATTAAAAACTATAGTAGCTAGCTGAACACTGTTTGCATTGCAACTGCAGGTTCACATCTCTCAAAATGGACTACTAATGCTGCAGATTCATAATCTTTACCAAGAGGGACAGCCACACTCTGGTATATCACCCCTTTCCAAATTACTAAAATGTAACAATATCTACATTTTTATTTTTTCACATAGTCAATTCTCATGTAATCTTGCAAGAAGTGAGGACGCATGACAGATTCATAATAATATAATGTATTTGCATGGTGACGATCAGAACGAATGTATATAAACATATATTTTATAAAGTTTAATTTAGTTAATTTAATATGCGCCTCTTACTCATCCTCTTATGGCAGTGGAAAAGTTTACGGATGCACACAATGGGTTCGGGAACTGTACCCCAGAAGTCGTTCAGCTGTAGGTTCAGTTTTAGTTAGTTAAATATATTATGGTCCCCTCTGAATCCATGGGTTAGCGGCAAAAACGTCTGTCACGTTAATGAGCGAGTTGCAGAAAGGTTTCAGTGCCGCAATGGGTTCACGTACTGGAATCCACTGATTTTAAGCTAAGCCATATTCATTCTCTCTGATCATGTTACATATAATTTAAATTTGCTAATCACGCAACTCGTTTTCCCAAGCGTTTTGGGACCTATCCAGGCAAATACGCGCATTACCTTTCCAGTGGCAATGCACGTTCAACTGATGAACAGTAGGCAAAGTTTGGACACTGCCAAGATTTCTCGTAGTACATAATTTCTAATAAAATACTTGCATATTTTGTGTATATTTGTGATAAAAGTTATTACCAAATACTTTAATTTCTTTAAATACAGGTTTAGTTCCTGAATCCCTTGTGCCTCTAGTCGTTCACGGGATAGGTATATAGATTCTTTATTATACACCCCATACCCATCCCGTGGGCGGTGGTATAAATGATTACAGAGGCATATATAGAAATTTGTTTAAATTAAATTTAAATTTTGCCCCGAGTGCATGATAAATACGTCACAAATGTGCGAATAATTTGTCCTGACAGTTTACATTTGGTCAATTCTACAAGGTAATGCAAGCTCCCAGATACTTATTACAGTCCTGTATCATCTATAGGAGTCTGCTCGTTTTATTGGACGATACATATATAAGTGAATCTTCTTGCAACATGAATGGTAGTAATGATAGATGGAATAGTTAATGTAAATTTCTATGAAAATAAATAAATATATATATACAGTAATACCTTCAATAATAGCACCAAATGCAAACTAATAGATGGAATATAACATGGGATTATGTCTGACAGCCAGCAACAAACAAAAACAAAGAACCCAGTAGTGCAGACGATGACGCAATCCGTAGTAGTCGTCTATCACATTCACATCTCTCATGGCATACGCAAAATAAAGGAATGATTTTATTGTGGAATGTAGCACGAATCTTGCGTAACTACATATTTTCCCCTGAATCGTCAATTGCGTGTACCGTCCCACCTGGCGTTCATGACGAAACATGGTGCAATCGGGAGCTTGGGGGCTGGGTCTGGGAGGGCTGGGAGAGGCGAGGGGTTATAACAGAAAACGTTGGCGAGTGTGAGAGCAGTCCGGACCCCAGTGAGTGTACAGCCCTAGTGAGTGTTACAGTGTTCACAGCAGCCAGAGTTTAGTACTTGTCACACCCTCGTGGGCACGTGACGTGGTCTGTGTTTGAGTGTTGAGTGCAGTGTCCCATGTGCTCCATCTGATCCTGGATAGTAGTATTATTTAAAAGCGACATTCATACAAGATAACAACACGCTTTTTTCAAATATGGTGGCACAGGCATTATACGTGGTGAGTATTTTGGATGTAATTTTTCAGTTTAATCCCCAGAAGTTTTGTATTACGTAACTGTGTTATATCAAAGGGTATATATGAATGATACATGTTATTGGTACTTTTTTGAATTAGATAATTGTATCATCCTAGACTATCATCCACAAGGTCTTCTCTCAATACTCTTTATTCTTTTCTCTGAGGCGAGGCTATAAGTCCATAAAATTGCACCAGAATTGGTAACCATATATATATATATATATATATATATATATATATATATATATATATATATATATATATATATATATATATATATATATATATATATATATATATATATATATATATATATATATATATATATATATATATATGCGAACAAGCCTGAACGGTCTCCAGGCATATATGCAACTGAAAACTCACACCCCAGAAGTGACTCGAACCCATACTGCCAGAAGCAATGCATTGATGTACAGGATCCCTTAACCACGTTCGAGTTACTTTCGAGTCACTTCTGCGGTGGGAGTTTTCAGTTATATATATATATATATATTATATATATATATATATATATATATATATATATATATATATATATATATATATATATATATATATATATATATATATATATAACACATGTGGTTGTTCTGCATACTTGGATCAGTGTTTTTGTGATCATATATATCATATATATTTGTGATCAGACTATATATATATATATATATATATATATATATATATATATATATATATATATATATATATATATATATATATATCAAACTGAGTATATATATTCAGTTGCATATGTCCTGGGGTCCATTCAGGCTTGTTCGCATATATATATATATATATATATATATATATATATATATATATATATATATATATATATATATATATATATATATATATATAAATGATACATGATATATATATATATAGTCTGATCACAAATATATATGATATATATGATCACAAAAACACTGATACAAGAATGCAGAACAACCACATGTGAAAAATAGAGAATGCTTAACGCGCACGGGAAACATCTCCCGTCACGCAGGGTGCAGTCGCACCTCCACAGATCTCTAGTATCATCTATTGATACTGGTAATGCTCAAAAGGGCCACCACGTACGGGCTATTCATACCCGTGCCACCTTTTGGGTGGCTTAATCTTCATCAATCAATCAGCTTAACGCGTCGCCTTCATCAGAGCAAAGTAGAATGAAGATAGGAAACATTGCTGATCAGACCTTTAACGGTCTGATCAGCAATTAGCCGAAAACGTGTTAATTCTATTTTTCACCTGTGGTTATTCTGCATATATAAATATACATTCGATTTAATTTGTATTTGAATTATAGAAAATATTTTAGTGCTATCCTTGTACTCATATTTATATATGTATTCTGCATATATAAATATACATTCGATTTAATTTGTATTTGAATTATAGAAAATATTTTAGTGCTATCCTTGTACTGTATATCTATAAGTAGTTGTATTACAAATATATACATATTATATATATATTTATTTTATGTATTATAAATATATATACAAATGTATATATATTTTTTATAAATTAATATTAATTATTTTTATTTTATTATCATAATTATTATTCAGACAATCAATTGGACCAGTGAGGTGACTCGAACTAGTTAGTGATCGGGGAACTCCCAGCGGCGCACTTTACCCCTGTACCACGTCTTGGTATAAGTTATAAAACCTGGGATTCCACTGAATCAACAGGAAGTCTGGAGCCTTCTGAGGCCAGTCCAAGTTTTACATATAAGCTCCAACAGCAACGGTGTACACACAGAAATCACAATAGCGTGATGCATCTAATGAACAAATCCACAAGGTCCATGAACAAATCCACAAGGCCTAGTCGACTAAAGGCAGCGTCTGGGATCATCCCTGGTGTAAGCTCGAACCCTCATCACGGCCCTTGTGGATTTGTTCATCAATGGTGTAGGTAAAGTACTTCATCGACCGTAGGCTCCAGCTTCAGATACATCAAGAAATTACACTAACGTGATATACAGTATATCTACAATAAAATCCTTATATATCACATTAGTGTTATTTCTTTGTGAATCTGAGCTGGAGAGTACGGTTTATGAACTACTTTACCTACACCAGAGTGCATGGAGGAGTTGGTTATAGGTAAAAACTTGCAATGGCTTCCTGTGATTTCAGTAGAAACCCGGTTGTATGACTTAAGACAAGTTACGCAGGTCCAGTGGTGGAGTACGCGACTGACAATGCCAAAGGCCGTAGGCCCACGCTTACCTAGTGGATTTTCTCATTATTCTTCTTATTATTATTATAGCAGCCTATTGTTTTTTGTATTGTTCGAAATTTTATGTAACACTGTAAAAGTGTTTGGGTTAGTTTATTTAAAATATATATAGAATATGAGTCACAGACGGATTGGAAAGGCGCCAGTTGTCTGCCTGAGATCTCACACCTCAAAGCGTTAATGACCTCAAGTGACCTGAGGTCAGATCATGAGAATTTCACCTTGCTTCCGCTAAGCTCTTAATTGTAGGCTGGTAGCCTTCAAACAAGCCGACGTTTAAGGAGTGGCTTGGTAGTGCCGGAGGCTATCTACTTGTGGGCGGAGTTAGCTACTAGGTTCCCCAATATAAACTCGGAGAGCTATCCAGCAGGAAGCATTAACAGACAGAACGGGAGTCAGCAGAAGCAGAGAAGACAGCCCTACCAGGGAGGCTGTCGGCCGGCAGGGCGGGAGTCTCTGTCAACTACAGACCCCCCCCCCCCCCCCCCCTCTCTATTCAACTTAGACTCAGTCCTCGGTGAGTGAACATTAAGGTGACTTGGTCGTGTTTACATATGTTGTGTGATGATCAGGGGCAGTCAAGTTGTAGGGTTCTCGAATTCTTGGATGATGACTCACTTTGCATATTAAACTGGAACATTTTAATTGAATTGCTAAATTATGATACTTCATGTGAAATATAATTATGAATTTATTATTTAAATTGTGTTTAACTTTGCTCCCTAGAGCTTTGAGTTGAGGATTTGAGAAAGCCTCTGTGGTTACTGGGTTCATGATATAAATGAGTACATGTTTGGAGTTGATACATGGTACAGAGGGAACATACTAATAATGAACTCATGATAACATCCTTTGAGAATTTTGTGATACAGGCAAGTTCCATTCCTTGTCTTGTATGTAATGATCATGAATGGATGGTGGCAGCATTTCGTCTTCTACTATCTACTTTCTACAACTTCTATCTACTCTTCTACTTCTACCTATCTACACCTCTCCCTCCACCCATCTCTAAACTCTCACTTTCAACTAATGACCCTCCTCGCTCCTCCCACCTCCCTACCTCTTACCCCAAACCCTCACTAATTACTTCACTATTCATTTCTTTCCTTTCGTTTCCTCTTATACGTTTGTGGCAATGATTCTGTATTCTAGAGTTCTCTCTAGAGTTTCGGGTAGCTGATCCAGTTACGGCTCCTTGTAGTCTTAGCACCTAGGTAGTCAAATACCTAGGTTACAAGGTGTTGAACGAGAGAGGTTGCCTTAGGAACTCTGGAGGGTGCTCTAGAATAGTTAGCTAACTGGGGACGGGATAACGGACTAGAGAGAGCTGTTTCCCCCGGCCTCGTTAGTTAACTGGGGGGTGGAATAATGGACAAGATAGAGCTATTTCCCCCACCCCCCGTTACAATGATGGCAGCGGTGTTGAACAATGTTTAAGGTATTGGTGTTCTTTTAACATTGTTCAGTCCCACGTGTCTTTTTGCCGCTCAGGCGCTATCAGGGAGATCTTGACAGGTGTTTATTATTCGCGATTTAGCGAACTTTTTTCAGGTTAGGAGATGATGATTCTCTGGTGTTGTGTTTAGTGATTTTGTGAGTTTTGTGGTGTTCAGGGAATGTTCACCAGAACTTGCGTGTGTAGTGATTTATGTTAGTAATAAGATTTGGCGATTTGGGAACTTAGCGGTGTTGGTAGTGCAGGTCAGCTGAGTGTGACAGGTGACCTCGCATGTCCCACGGGGACACCCAGCCACCGCTGGTCTCCAGGTCAGTGGGGAGTGGCAGGTGTAGTTCTTAAATAGATTTTAAGTAGTAGTGGTTCTGCTCAGATTATTGCGATCGACTGTTTTACTCCATTTGAACGCAATAACCCGAGGTGTACTGGTCTTGTACAGCATGCTAGGGGGAGCCTTAGTATGTCAGTAGACTTCACGTTGGGGACGCTCGACGTTAGATAGTCTGGTCACAGGGGTGGCAACAGTTTGGGGTTGTTGACCGGCGGAGAAGCTAGGGAGACACTCTGGGTCACGTAGGTGGCTGTAGGTTAAGGGTGGGAGTAATGGTTAATTATGTACTTAAGATTAGGAAAGGTACAGTTAAGTTAGGCTAGTGTTTTGTCTATTAGTGTTGATTTTTTTTTTTGTGTGACAAGTTAAAAGTAGTGATGACCTTATTCTCTCTTCTCTAACTTTACTCTGTTACTGTTTTATGTTCCACCAAGTCAATATCATTCAGAGTTAATTGGATTATTTAAAAAAAAAAAAAAAAAATTGAAGTGTAGTTGTTGCCAGGAGGAGAGCGTTATGATATAACTGTGTAACCCTATACAAACTACAGGGTCACACAACAGCATGGAACACGGGTATTGTCGCCTTTATGTTCATTCACAGGTGGGAGCCAGAGGAGAGGCGCGACGCATATACAGAAGAGGGAGACGGCTGCTGTGTACCACACTCACGGGCGTTAATCACCACCACCACGACCAGCCCCTACCTGGATGTCAGGGCCACCACCACCACCACCACCCCAGGGGACCCCAAGATGCAGCCCTCTCGGTCGGTCAACATTGGTCTACCCAGTGGACCCCAAGACGGACGGACCCCAGTGGACCCCAAGACGGACGGACCCCCAGTGGACCCCAGGTCGTTCTGCAGACGACCCCAGACGACCCAGTAATGATGGAAGAGGAGCAACAACGA